TGCCCAGTTGGCACATTAAAGGCATTTTAATTGGCTTTTCTTTCCCCATGGTTCACATACACTGCTCAGCAGCTCTGGGTGCCTCAGGATCATATATCACACTCATGAACTTCTCTGTGAACCATTTATAGGATTTCATTCCTCAACAGAAGGAAACCAATYCTCCCCCACCTAAACTCAGGCATGGGAACAACTCACCTGTTTAGCTGCACTTTTGTGCATTTCTGTATAAAACTATTTCAAATATATCTGCTATTTTACATTACATTCGACCAGACACMCAAAACACGTCATTATTTTCCAACCAAGGAGCTCGATTTCAGCAGAATTATAAACATTTCAAACCAAGCTGTTAAAACAGGAAGAGTCAGACAAGCTAATCCATGAACCCCCATCTTTTTTCCCCTACAAACATTGCAGGAGGGGATTTTTCCCAGCACTCCCTCTTTCCCCTGCATTCTCCCGTTTATAGCAGATTTTTGCTGTCAGATTTACCCAAATTGCAGCTGTGCTGGGCATTGGGCAGGATCTCAGCCCGGATCCCCTCGCTGCTGCTGGGAGAGCAGGATCTGCTGGCAGATGACAGAGTTATTCCAACCACAGCACTCCAAGGGCTTTCTCTCCATCTGTCCTGGAGAATTGATACCCTGCCCCGAAGGTACAGGAATAGAAACACTTTATCTGCTGCTGGAGTCTYCACCATCCCTTAAGTCCCTCAGCTGACAGAATTATCGTCTCAAAGCGAGACRGCGGCGTGGGGAGATCAGGTTCACACGTTTACAGCAGCTCCTCATTTTATTTCTGTCAGCCCTAAAGGTCTTTGCAAATTCTTTCCCTCTCCATCCAGCAAAGGGCTGGGGATGTGTAACTCGAATTTCCTCTYAACAGCAGCCTGYTCTAGGGGTTGGAACCAKCCGAGCTTGGAAGTCCCTTCCARCCCAGACCATTCTGGGMTTCTCTRATTAGAGCTGCAGAGGTTCCAGCATTGGATAAATTCCCCGAGGTGGATGAATTGGACTCACAGGAGGATTTTATTTTAAATAAACACGGGGAAAAGGGACTGATCAAACTCTCAGACAGCTCCTCCAGAGCTTGCCCTTCCAGCCTCTTCCAACACTTCTGTGTTTCAGTTTTCTGTGGCGTGCACGAACTCAGCAACTTTGTTTTCTGAGCTGCCACAGCTTAGAATTGGGCATGACTGGGATGCCCTCTGCAGGACATCCACTTGTTCAAAGGAAAATGGAGAGAAAGCTTTTGCCTATTTTTTCCCCGCTTCCCTGCTGAACAGTGAGCACTTTGTAAGAAATATTGAAATAGTATTTTTTTGCGTACTAGAAAATCCCGATTTTCTATAGGCACTCTGATGGAAAAATTCTTCCTCTCTCCGTGGTGTGGAGGTTTTCTCACTCCGAGTTCCCAAAGTGGTGCAGCAAACACAGGTTTGCTCACCAAGTTGTGAGCAATGTAGCTACTATTTCCCTCCCTCCCGACATTCATTATTAGTAGAGGACATAATTTGTATTTTCTGCTGAAAACTGGGCATTCCTACAGCRCCTTCTGTCCAAAAGTCTGCCAGATGTTTTCTAGAGAGCGAAGCCAAGCTRTCATCGTCTGTAACAAACAGTATTTGTAAAAGTTGTGTTTGGGAATGGCTACWGTCACACTCTTGTCATCCTGGAGGAAGCCTGACAGAGCTGATGCTTGCCTTGCCTCAGTGCCACAGCCCAAACAAACACATCATGTTTGATAAAATAGTGATACAAATAATAATGATTAAAAAATTAAATGATAAATGTCATATGGCGATAAAAATAATGATTAAAACCCCCCCAAGATGTCCTGCCTGACTCCAGATATGGTGTCTGTGTTAGAGCCTCTCAGAAACAGCAGGTACAAACAGCCAGGGCTGAGCTGAGAAAGCCAGGGCAGGCTCAGAGTGATGTTTTGAAAGGTCCAGATGCACAGTGGAACCAGTGCCCCTGCAACCTTCTTTTCCCCCTTTTTTAAGGTTTGGGAGCTTAGGATGGTTTACTCAAATCCATCTGAAGCTTCACAGATCCGGACAAACTCACTCAGCAAGCCCATGACTTCCCTGGGTTATAGGGTAACTGCAGAGTGGCAAAGGAAGAGTAAATTTTTGTCCAAAAACCTCTACCTCAGCAGCAGCCCAGGCAAGTCCAAGAACGATGAGCTTTCTACGAACGAACTCATTTTCCTATCTTTTTTAAACAAAAATAAATACAAATTGCGATTATTTTAAACCGCGTAAGTTCAGATTTAAATCTGCAAACACTGACCGGTGCCTCTCTCTCCCTGCTGTCAGTGGCTTGCAGGAAGGCTCTGGACAGCACCACAGTAGCAGCTCACGAGTCCGAAATCTACTGCAAAACCTGTTACGGGAGGAAATACGGCCCCAAAGGCGTGGGCTTCGGGCAGGGGGCCGGATGCCTCAGCACCGACACCGGGGACCACCTGGGCTTGAATCTGCAGCAGTGAGTTAAACCCCTGCCACAGCTCCTTCTCCTGCTCCTACTCAGCTCATACCAGGCTATTTTAGATATTTTATTCTGTTTCCATAACAACATCCATCGTGAGGAGCAGAGCAGACTTCCCTGCACCCTTTCCTTCCATGGATGCAGTACTTTASTGTTTTTAATGATGTTCAGTCTCCTTAAGCTTTCTTTACAAATTATCCCYTCCTTCAATAGGCAATTATTCTGCAGAAGCAGCCTTTAAATGCCACCCCAGATGTAAATATTCACTGCAATTGTRCTCTGCCATTTGTAGCACAATGGTAAAGTCATTCCCTATAGAAAGAGATAATTTTTTTTTCCTGTTAGAGGCTAAAATCCAGTTAGGTTTTACTCTTARAGAAATAATCTCACTACCCCATACTGTTAGCTCTCCTCTCAATGGGGGAAATAACATTTCTAAATCCTCCCTGTGGTTCAAATAACACTCACAAACACACTGAGAATGTGTTTGAACAAAGGAATTCTAATGGGATACCATCTTCCAAAAGCACACAATTARCTCTGACAGTTCATTTTTATAGGATTTTCCTGCAATTCTCAAAGCTGCACATTTCTTAATCAACCAYGCTTCTTCCTTCTGGTGGTCTAACTATAAAGAAACCAATTAACCAATATGCTGTGGAGGAAATAAAAGCTTAAACAATGTATTTAACTGTAGCTCCTTGTACCATATRAATCCATAAGGGGCAGAGTTCTGCACCAAAAAATGCCACATCCTGTGGATATTATGGGATATAATAACCTGTTGCAATCCAACAATCTGATAATTCAGAAATCATTCTGCAAAAGGCTGTAAGACCAAAGATACAAAGTCCAGCAATAAAAAAACAAAGCTACTTTTCTGATATGCTTTTGGCCCCAGGCCAGGTAAGAGCCCCAATCCCCTGCCCAAATGTTTCAYTGCCTAAGGAAACAACTCAATGCATGCAAAAATCCCAATTTTTATTTTCTGCTCATTGCATACCAGCACATAAGCCAGTTACAAAGAATAGAAAGATCTTTTGCTTGTATTTTCCCTTGCCTCTCCATAAAAKAAAATTGGGGTTTGCCTCACTTTTCATTAAATACAATCTTTTCTGCATGTGGCTGCTGCAAGCTCCACGGACTTAGCTCAGAACAGGTAACATCAGAGGTTATAATATCAGCTTCTCAATCACACCTCACAGAATTCAATGGAATACTTTGATTTGTCCTTTTCTATTCCCTTTTGCATGTCATTGACCAGCAATTTTCTATTTTTTTAATCCCTTACCAAAAAATACTGAAATCCTTTTCCTAAGGAGGGTAACGTTTTCAAGCAGCATTTAAAAACATCAAAAACTTCTGTTTTAGGGGGTCACCAAAGCCCGCTCGCCCTTCKACACCAACTAATGCTTCAAAGTTTGCCAAAAAGGTGGTGGATGTGGACAAATGTCCCCGTTGTGGCAAATCAGTGTATGCTGCTGAGAAGATCATGGGAGGAGGAAAAGTGAGTCTGACTTAAGAACTAGGGAAAAAAAAACCCCAGTTTTATAATGGTGGTAAACCATGGCTGCTATGTCCTTGATCATTTAAATTTTCATTCATAGAGAAAATATGAGGATGAATCAGCAAATTGCTACAGCAGGGTGTAGGTTCAGGTTTCAAATCTTGGGTTTTTTGTAAGCCTTCTTCAACTTTTTGCTTCTTACTGCTGAGGACCAAGCACTGATTAGTGTGCAGGCTGGCTCTTGCTCCAGCTCTGGGGATATTTATATTTATAAACATTTATTTATTCACTGCAGTATCTTGAGCTCCCTGCTTTTCATTAGACTTCTGTAAATAACAGAGTCACTGGGTGATTGGCATGGGGTAACAACATAACAGAAAACACAACCCAGAATGGCTAAAAATGGAAGCCACAAAATCAGCAAATGAATTGTAACCTTTCCACACCACGAAAAGCAGTAGCTCCTTGTTCCTCGTACCTGTTGGGCTGTGCATTTCCTGTAAAACACACTGAATTGTTTTCATTCCCTCAGCCTTGGCACAAGTCGTGCTTCCGCTGCGCTATTTGTGGGAAGAGTTTGGAATCCACCAATGTTACGGACAAGGACGGAGAGCTCTACTGCAAAGGTGAGAGCTGCAGAGAGCTCAACTGGGCTGCAGAGTCCAACTGAAGTCAGGCTCTGTCAGACCTAGGATTGCCATCGTGATTTACCTTTAACAATCCCAGGAAATTTCATTCTGTTGTTTTTTAAACCATTTTCTGAAAGCAAAGAGCTGTGGTAACATTGCAGTCGCAGTTTCTACCGTTAACATTTAAATTGTAAAGCTGTAATTTTTTTCTTCTCAGATCCAGAAAGTTCACAGACTTCACTTGATTTTTAGCAAGAGCTTAAGAGGAAAAAAATAGGCTAAGTTTTATATCCAAAGCTRAAGTTTATAGAGAACCCTAAAGAAGAATACTGGAGTTCTGTGAATTTGGGTACAGACTGTCAATCACTAGTGATCAAACGGACATATTTAGAAAAATATGCTGATCATTACTACTAACTATGGACAGAAATACAGAGTTCAAATGGAATTACTTAAATGCCCATCAATAGTTTTTGGATTATGGTCTAGTCCTTTTCTAGTCTCCTTAAAAATCTCTGACTTATAAATCAGACCAAGTTTTACTGAGTATTTTCAGACAGGAAAACAACTGTAATGAAAACATTACTTAGATTTTAAAAAAAATACAGTTTATTTTTTTTTTTGAGATCACCAGATGCAACCTTTGTGTTATTCAAATATGTGATACCAATTCATTATTAAGACCTGGATAAACTCGTGGGAAATACTATTTCAGATTTCCTTCCTTTTTATTAATTTGACAGTAATCTAAAAAGAAAACCAAAAGGCATTTACTTCTGAGAGCCTTTGGAATACTTTTAACCTTCCCCTCTTTCTTTTGCAGTTTGCTATGCAAAAAATTTCGGTCCCAAAGGAATTGGRTTTGGTGGCCTCACTCAAGTGGAAAAGAAAGAGTGTGAATGAGAAGAAATGGATGCAACAGACTCAAGGCTGCTGTTGATGCCACCAAGTGATAGCTGTCAAGTAAAACATTGAACAACACATATTGCTAAGAATCTAGGGCATTTGATTCAGATTTTACAGCTTGCAGGAAAAATTTGTGAGCTTTGTATCTTAAGAAATTCTTAGAGTAGGTTAAAAAGGTACAGCGATAGAACAAGATTCATGTTTGTTTTTAGTAAACAAAGACAAAAAGAACCTCATGGAACATTATTGCTTCTTAAACTTCTTTAACACATTTTAGATTGGAATTTTAGACTCACAATGCCCCATCAGGATAGGGATCCCTTCTGGAGTGCAGGGTCCAGGTGTTCCCAGTTAACTGTATTTTCCTTTGTTCACAATGTTACACTGTCTGTAAYCCCACCAGTCTCCTAAATGAGTTTTGAATGTGCATTTGTGTTACATGGTAGATGTTATTTGAGACAATTATAAAAGGGATTTGAAATTCTCTCTCTCTCTCTAAGGGAGGTATTTCTAAAAAACCCAACATTTTCTCAGAATACACTGTTGTTTTGTCTGATTGCAAGCTGCAATAAAGTACTTACTGCTTCACGTTATTTTTATTTATATTTGCTGTGCTTATACATTCTACAGTGCTGCAGAGAAGTGGATTTCACTGAGATGAATGAAACCCCCATTTCTGAACTACAAGAATTGCATTTCACTATATCACTTATGATGTCAGTTCTAGGTGGAAACTGAATTTAATTTCCTGATCTTGAACTCTTTCCCTGCTGGTTCTCATTGTTACCTACTTTGACTGACATTCATAGCACACTGTCMTGCTGGCCACTCCTTTTCTGGGGAACATGGTTGACATTGGCCATTAGAGATCTATGCAGTGGGGAATAAATCCCTTTTTTTGTGCAAATTGCTATTTTCCATGATAAACTCACCCATTTTCATACACTAACATGGCATATACCTGTGAAAAACATAAGCCAAACAGGCTTCTTCTCATGGTTTTGTGCCTACCCACTCCTAAATACCTCACAGATCACTTATCTCTTGAATCTATTTCAGTCTGCAAAAATACACTTACAAGTATGAAAGCTCTATTTTATTACATGTAAACCCTTCAAATACAAAGACTTAACAGAGGTTTTCACAGCATAAGCAATAAAATTACAACGAAATTGTAATATTGTTTTTAAATATGAACATTCACTTTAATTTTCAAATTCACTTGTCATCTATTACCAGCAAGGTAAAAGCAAAGGGTACCAACATCATTTTGAAATTCTGCCCTAAAAACTTATCTTCAAAAATATATATCTTTGTGTCATCTCACCACACAAAATTTTAAATAGTTTCAGCTCAAACTATATATACACAGACACACAGTGACTGTTCCATATACAAATCTGCTGTATYTTATGCAAATCTTTTCAACAATAATAAAAACAAGCAGCCTTAGAAGAATTTGCAAAAATTAACAAAATATCCAGTTTTATTCAGCTTTCAGCTCAACCATCTTAGAAATTAAGCAAAACTTTACACAGAATGAATATTTTTCTCCTTTGCCAGATGAAAAAGTTTGTATTGCTTGGTCCAGTCAATTACATTGGGTTTGAACATACCAAAGCAACTGCACTGAAAAAAGTCTGCAAGATTCTGGAAGCATCCAAGGCTGGAATAAAGAGAAAAATATGCATTAATAAACCCAAAAAAAGAAGTCTGCAAGCATGAAAAATACCAGCTCACCATGAGACAGTACTTAAGAAATAAACTTGTCAAGGGAGACAGYTCAGGGAGAAGAAACAGAAGAGCTCTCAATTGAGCATTATTCCTTTGCTGAAATTTTACAACTTGTTTYACATTAACAAATGAGGGTAGATTAAGTTGAACTCAAGTATTTAAAAGTTGGTAAGATCTCATSCAACAGTACACACGAGAAAACAGGRAAACCTTGGTACCCATTTTTCTATGGAGCTAAATACTGCAAGAGAAGCCAGAAAAGGGCCACTTCATCCTTTAATTCCCTTTCTGATCCTACAGAGCAGACACCGAGACTGATGAACAAATTAAAGGATGGCACCCCCTCACCCCCAGAAYAGTGGTTTTGCATTTATGAAACAGTGAAGCAAATCAGTACTGAAAAGATAATGTGCTTAAAACACTCTGTTCATTAATACCCACTTGTACGGAGTCCTCCTGAGCGAAACAGGATGCTTAGAGGATTTTCTCTGTGCCAGGAGATTCATTCTTTCATGTGAGGTCAACCCCARGAACGCAATCTGATTGGAAGAAAAATATAAGCAATGGTTACAACACCAACATCACAAATTAAAATTCTGGTGAGACCACGAAAAACTGATGCGAAGGGAGCAGGGTGGAAGAGGCTGCCCACATCCAACAAATAAGGAACTGCTGCTATAGCAGATGACTGGAAAGTATGTTTTTAAATGTCACTTGGGCTAAAACAGAAGCCAGGAAGCTCTAACACCACCTTGCAGAGAAGGCAAGCTTAACTGGGATGTCTGTGAAGACCACACTTTCACAGATGCTTGCAGAACTGTAAGATCTATCACATTTGAGTACCAATCCACTCAGATTTTGTCTACATTCTACTGCACACAATGGTAGAAAAAGATCCCTTGATYCACAGTGGCACTAAACACCATAAAGCAGTACATTTACAGATGACTTGTACCAAACASAGTGATTAAACTGTAAATATCCTCCCTGTCTTTTTCCAGCATGATATCCCAGTGTCTTGGCCACTGCAGAAATCTAGCAGTACTCATTCAAAATTGTGGAGCTTTTTGTTTGGTTTTTTCTTAATTAAACAAGATGTAAAAAAAGCCCTTAGCTCAGTATGCTCAACGCATATTTCAAAGACACCTCTTTCTGAAGAGATGCTAAACAAGCTGCTTCACAGATGTTCTAAGACAGCTCTTCTCAATTTTGTTTGCACAGCCAAGCTTTWTTCTGAGAAAAGCATAAACAAGAAATTTGACAGTCCTCAACAAGACAAAATCGAAGTCATATATTTTTACTGTAGCAGTGGGATTTAATATAGTCTAATGACACAGGGCTGAGCTCTGCCACAGAATTTTCAGCCTAGGACTGATTGTGTCACTGAGCTTTTGTGCAACTTTGGGGGCACTAATACCAGTTCTATCAGTCAAACAAATTTCTTGTCTTTAAATACAACTTTTTACAGGTTTGGAATTTTTGATRAGCAGTAAACCCAGAACTCAGCTATAGGAATGATTTGCAGACTGTGATTCTACTTTTAACAGGGGAATACTGAGTGCACAAGAACCTGTGAAACTTCAAGGTCTGCCCTGAGATTTAAGAGAAGCACCTTGCTGTGACAGTAATCACAGAAACCAGGCACAGCGTTTCGATGGGAGCAAATCCCCCACGGAAAAGCTTTAATGTGACAAGAAGAATAAACTGAAGGAAAATATTACCTGGTACAGCTGAACAGTGAGCCATAATGAGGCCCACAGGGTATGGAAACAGGCTACTGAGGAGATGTAGGAAACCCAGGGAGAGCAGGACACTGTCTGGGTGAAGTAYGTCCACGCTCCATCTCGATGGTAACTTGTTGCGCAGTGGTTGGACCAATCTGACAAGACACACCATCAGTTAATTCTGCTTTTAAGCTCTTAAGAACTGAGCAAAGATTATTTGCATGAAATGAATATTACATAGCAACCTGCTCTAGAAATACCACATTTCATCTACCCCGTTGCCACCTAAAAGCACCCACACAGATGCGTGACTGCTTGCTATTCTGGCTGAATAATCCTTACACTCTGTGTTTATGATCCACAGAACAACCTCCTTGTTTTAAAAGGTTGGTGCTATTCTAATTCATCCTCAGGAGCTACATTGTAAGTGCTTTCTTCTCCATTCCAATATTTTTTTTCAAAGAAGCAGTTCAGATATATTAATGAGATAATATACTTCTCTTCAGAGTTATCCGACTTTAAAAACAAAAAGAAATGTCTCAAGCATTCAATATAGATATTTCCAAATTAAAAAGAACAATAAAGYTTTTGAAATCCTGTATTTACAACCTTATTTTCTGTAACAGTAAAGGCTATCCAGATTAGAACCTGTCACCTGACATTCTTCCACATAGCTTCCCTATTTCCTCTCTAACAAAAATGCTGCCTGCTATTTCATTTCCCAATGGACATCCCACTACAGCAGAATCTTTGYTCTTGCTCAACACAAATGTAATCAGGTATTTGACCAAAGACTCAGATATAATACATTTTCACTTAAGCTACACTATAACATCACTGCTGAAATAAGGTATCACTTGTGCAGGTTACACTTGCTGGAAATGAAATGCTGAAAAATAAAGACCACACMAAGATGGATTTGAAAGCTAAATTAAASTAAATTCATGGATACATACACTGAAGAGTTCCATAAATCAGCCAGACACCAATCATTGTTAGGAAWGACAGGAACAACAAATAGTAATAATGGTTCCCAATGCCTAGGAAAAAAAATTAAAAGTTTGACATTTTAAAATTCAGCAGTACTTGTGTTTCCACTGATCTTAATAGGAACAAAAGGAGTCAAAACCACTTATTATTAATTCTGCCATCCACAAGAGAGCTTGGCAAGGCTGATCTCTCTTTCAACTTTCTCCTGTAAGCCACCCCAATTTATATAATAGAATTAGTTCTGATAAAGTCAACAAGGATTTGTCTCTTCTTCAGAGCATGTCTTCAGCTGTTTGAGCCTGGTGACGACCAATTAAGCAACCACAACTCCTTCCCATGCACAAAAAAATTGTCTCATATGACTRAAAAGTCTAAGCTCTTCAATTTATTTGATCTTGTATGCTTCAGAATTGAAAACATACACATAAAAAACCCCCAGACCTCATCAGAAAAGCTGCAACATAAAATCATAATTTATATTTAAATTACAATGCATCAGAACAATGTCTCACCACCTTGCAAATAGCAAACACAGTACAAATAGGATTTGACTTTAGGAAAAAAGCTGCTGGCAAAAAAGTAAGTGAAAAATGTATTGTTACAGATATAAAGTTGTCACCTTCCTATCTTAAGCATCACCAGTAATGAGCCAGAAAGGCAGAGAAAGGGCGAGAGGGAGGAACATGAAAACRCCCTATGGGGTTATCTCAGTGGTACAGCTGCTCCACTCAGCACTGTCCCTGTCAGTGACAAGAGGCAATGCAAGTTCAGGAGGACACACGAGTCCAGCCACTTTCTGGAGTTCATTCTCATCATMCACAGCTACTGCATTAAAATGTCACTGCGCACACTTGTCTGGTTCTTTTAGTATCTACTCTTAGACACATTGTCCAAAAAAGTTTGTCTAATCCCTTTCTAAATCTGCTGATACTGCCTGTGTCTGCAAACCCTTACAGCAGCAAGCTCCAAGAGTTCACTGCCTGCCACGTGGAGACGTTTTTGTCTTTACCAATTTTAAATCCCTAGTTCCGCTTTGATGAGCTTGGCTACTAACAGTTCTGCATTCACTTTAGCCACCATCTTAATATTTTCTTTTCTTTCTTTCTTTGAAGTCTCAATCATATCCGCTGTTCCT